TTTCCTTCCCCCAGCAGTGAGTTCTATTTGCTTTGCAACTTTACCATCCTTTGGTGGTATCAGTGTTTTTATTGCTATCTCATTGTTGCTTTAAAAACATGGCGAGCATCTTTCTCTTCATATTTTACTTGACATTTTTCTGTCCTCATTGGTAATATATCTGTTCAGAGTGCTTGCCCATTTTTTATTGGGCTGTTATTTTGGATAACCAAGTACACTTTTGCAAATATTTTCTTTTAATGTGAGATATTTCCTCTTGCAATTATGTTTTGCAAAGCAAAAACTGAGTTTTAATGAAGTCTAGCTTACCATTTTTTACATGGATCATTCCCTGAATATTATATTCTTTTAAAAACATTGTTATAGCTGAAGTCATCTAGGTTTTCTAGTGTTATTTTTGAGGAGTTTTATAATTTGGCATGTTGCATTTAGGTCTGTGATCTAGTTTTAGTCATTTTTCTAAAAGGCATAAAGACTAAATCTAGATGCATTTATAATTTTTTGTACATGAGTATCTTGCTGTTAACATTTATTGGAAGAACTATTTTTGTGGCAGTGTATTACCTTTGCTCTTTGTCAAACATCAGCTGTCCATGTTTATGCAGGCCTATTTGAAGATTCTACTTTGTTCTGATCTTTTTGTAAATATTATCACTAATGGAAAAATTGCCTAGGTTTATGTGGTCATGAATCTGAAAGTTGGATGATGTTAGTCTTTCAGCTTACTTCTCCTTCAACATTTTGCAGTCTGTTGTAAATCTCTTCATGTAAACTTTAGAATCAGTTTATTGATATTGCTGTAAAGTCTGTTGAGATAATAATTGAATAAGTTGGGACTAATTGATATTTTGACAATACTAAATCTTCCTATTTATGAACAATGAGTATGTCTCCACTTAGTTTGTGAACATCCATCAGAGTTTTACAGTTTTCCTCTTACAGATCTTGTACTTACTGTGTTATATTATTCATGCTTTTGATTTTCTGCGATTTCTGTTCTGTTCCATTGATCTGTGTTTCTATTTTTGTGCCAGAACCAAGCTGTCTTAATTGTATCTGCCTTATAGAATATCTTGAAATTGGGTAGTGTGGGGCTGCAGGTTTTGAGTTTCTTGTTTTTAGCTGCTTGGAAGCTCTTGTGTTTCCATATGAATTTTTGCATCATTTTGTGTTGATCTGGGAAGAATGTCATAGGTATCTTGATTGGAATCACATTGATTCTGTAAATTTTTTTGGACATGTTGATGCAACTAATTCTGCCTAACTACAAACATGGAAGATTGTTCCATGGTGTGGTGTCTTCTGTTTTTTTCTTAATGTTTTGTAACTTTTATTATAACTTTCATTGCCTTGGTTAAATTTATTCCAGGGTATATAAATTTTTTAGCAGCCATTGTGATTGGAACTGTTGTTTCAAATTCTTTTTTAGCCGTAGATTGATTGTGAATACAAAGGTTTTTCGAGTTTTGTGTATTGATTTTATATCCTGCAGGCTTACCAATCTGGTTTTTATTAGTTTCTTGGTAGTCTTTTTATTCCCTTATATATAGAATCATGTGATTTGCTAACAGGAATAATTTGACTTTCTGCTTTCCAATTTATAGCCCTTTGATTTTTTTTTTCCCTTCTGGTTCTGACTGAAACTTCTAGGGCTATTTTGAATAGCAGTGGTGATTATGGGTGTCCTTGTCTTGGCTCCAAGTCTTAGTAGAAATGCTTGTAATGTTTCAGTATTCAATATGATGCTGTGGATTTTTCATATAGTGCTTTGATGTGTTGAGAAATATTCCTTGAATACTCAATTTACTTAAGGTTCTTTTTTATCATGAAATAATGTATTTTATCAAATAACTTGTGTCTATGGAGATAATCATGTGATTTTTATTCTTCAATTTATTTATGTGAATATCACATTTATTGATTTGCTTGTGTTGAAGCACTCCTGCAAACCAAGGGTACATCCCACTTGGTGCAGTTGAATAATCTTTCTGACAGGTTACTGGATTCATTTAGCTAGTATTTTATTGAGTTTTGCCTCTATGTTCATCAGGAATATTAGTGTATACTTCTCTTTCCTTCATTGTATCTGGATTTCTTATTGACTACACATAGATGTGGATCTTGTGTTTCAGTCCACTTGCAGCATCTTCTATTTAGTGCATTTAAAACACTGATGCTCAGAGTGACTTTGGATATAGTTCAACCAATATCTACCATATTAAAGCTTTCTATTTGGTTCATCTTTGTCTGATCACTTCTCAGCGTTTTGGCTAAGATCAGGTGTTCTTTGCTCCTTTTTTTCATCTTGCCAGTTGGGGCATTTAAATGAATCAGTGTTCCTTTCTTCTTGCATTACACTTTGAATTTTGTTTACTGATTGTCTTGGAATTTCCATATGTTTTTTACTTCTAAAAAACTACTTTCAACAGTTATTGTAAGGCAGGCCCACTGGCAACAAAATCCTTCAGTTTTTTCTCTGTGAAATTTTATTTTTGCTTCATTTCTAAAATTTAATTACAGTATATCAAGTTATGGTTGATGATTTTGTTCTTTCAACACTTAGGTATTTCATTCTACTCTCATCATATGAGAGTACCTCTGGAGACATTGGATGTAATTCTTACCTTTGTTCCTCTATAGGTCAGGTTCTCTGCCACATTCCAACTTCTTTCAGGAGCATTAATTTCCGATGTTCAAATAGGACATTTATAGCTGTAATTTTTGGCATATGTCTTGGGTGGTTTCTGAGTTCCTGAGATGTGTGTTTTGGTATATGATATTAATATAGGGGAGATCCTTGGTCATTATTATCTCAAATATAGTATCTTGCTTTTCTTTCTTATATCACACTGTATGTGGTTTTAATATATTTAAATAGCTGATTTAGTGTTCTAAGTTTTCTTCAGCTTTTAAAAAAAATATTAGATTTTGTTTATTTCTGGAAATTTCTATTATCACCTCAGGTTTAGAGACCTTTTTTCTATCAGTTGAATCTTATGTTTCTGCTATTGGATATGTCACATTCTTAATTCCTGTTAGTTTTTGCTCTTGTTGTTACTTTTAGCATTCCTTTTTGGCTCTTTACTAGAAATTCTATGTTCTTACATCATTCCTCTGTTCTTGTAGTATGTTTACATTTTTTCCATTGAGCTTGTTTGCATATTAGCCACAATTTTTATTTTTTACAATGGTATAGTTCCTCATAAATAGTCATAAGTCTATCATTGCAGGCATGGACAATGGCACAGTCCAGCATCCAATGGTAGTTTAACTATCATGTCAAGACACATCCAATGGTAGTTTAACTCGGATTCTATCCTCAATCCAGAAGTAGAGGTGCACACTGCACCGTATGCTCACATCTGGACATGATGGTCTCCGCTACACAGTCAGTATGCATCCCCCCAAGTGAAAAGCTAACAACAACAACAAAAAATCTACAATAGGAAGAAAAATTTACAATGTCATGAAGTTAAACAACACATCACTGGATATGATAGTCTCCATTACACAGCTACTGTACATCCTCTTACATGAAAAGCCACAAAACAAAATCAAGAACAGGAAAAAATATAGAAATTTACAACGCCATGAAGTTAAATAACATGCTACTGAATGACGAATATAGCTGAAGAAATTAAAAAGAAAATAAAAAATTTCCTGAAGAAAATGGTGTTGCTATATGACCTATGAGTCAGTGAAGGATTTAATATGAGAAAAAACTGTTTTGAAGACATGAAAGTTAAAAACAAAATATCAAAGAAATTCAAGTTTCTGCTGATCTTTGTTACTGGGATATGTCTCCTGTAGGAAACAGATTTTTTTTTTTTTATTATTCCAGTCTGCTAATCTATGCCATTTGATTGATGACTTTCAGCCAGATTTATAGGGAGAAAGAGAAGGATCTTCTATCAACTAGTTCCCGCCACAATGGTTGGAACTGAGCAAATAGGAGCTAGGAGCCAGGAGCCTCTCCTTAGTCTCTCATGCAGATGCAGGGTCCCAAGACTTTGGACTATCCTCTGCTGCTTTCCCAGGCCTCAGGCAGGTAGCTGGAACAGAAGTGGAGTAGCCAACATATGAACTGGCACCAATATGTCATCCCAGCGCATGCATGGTGAGGACTTTAGCCCATTAGAGTACTGTACTGGCCCCAGTTGTGATTCTCTTTATTCATTTGCCTGTTTCTCCAGGTTTAGGGTTAGCAGTTTACCTGTGATCTCATTTCTGTGACAAATGGTACAATTGTTGGTACTTACTTAGTTCAGTGTTTTACTTTTGATCAGATTGGTGATTGTAATCACGTTTCATACCGGAGTAATAACCAAAGTCTGTGTCAACATTTTATACTTGTATAGACTAGCCATCGTTCTTTTGATTTCTGGATCCTTCTCAGTAGCTGATGTGCATTTCTACTTCTATGTTCAAGTACAATAAAAATGTCAATGGGCTCTAATTATAATTTCATATATCTCCTTAAACCCTTTTCTCCTATATGATATTCTTAATTCAAAATAAAATCTCCCATGTTACTTAGACCCAAAGTCTCTTTACTTAGTTATTGGTAGCATTTTTCATCCATTTAGCATAAATCAACTGTCTAAACCTTTTACTCTGCATCTAGAATATACTCATTGTACTCCTTGAATGAGTTTACTCATTCAGCGCTTCGTTTCTTTTCAGTTACATTAGTTAGAATAATTTCTTTAAAATGGCATATCCATTCTCAATATCCTTTAGTTCATTCTTTGATTGCAGTTTTGTCAGTTGAAGCATTGGAAAGAATGAGCAAGAAGATATTGAGAATGAATATTGATGGGCAGAAAATAAGCTTTATTACTTCTGTTTTATTCGTGAGACAACTAAGTGATGGTATATAATTGGTTTTTAACAATAGTTGCATGATTATACAGCAGGAGCACTTCCTGTTACTTGTATATTCTCTTGGGCCATAATCATTTCCAATTATCTTAAAGCTTTGTTTTTTTCTTTCCCAATAGCCACAGTATGAGAATACTGCACTTCAGACTCCGTTTTCAGAGCAGTCAGTGTCCCATTCCCAGCAAGACGAACTTGAGCAAAAGCTTGCATCTACTGAGAAAGAGATTTTACAGCTCAATGAGTTTCTCAAACAACGAATGAACCAATTTAGTGAAGAGAAGAAGAAATTGGAGGAAAAGGTAGGCATATTTTAATGAAATTTCATTGGATTCACTTTATTCAAGATGTAATTTTCATTTTCCCCATTTCTTATGTGATACCAAGTTACGTATTTGCAATAATGCGATTAATTTTGTGTAACTTTTGAGAAACTTTGGGCTGTCTGCAAAAATGGAAAAATTTTCTTAAAGAATGAAGACTAGTTATGTCTTTCTAACTACTGGTTAAAAACAGTTCCCTGTGTCATTGCTATCCTTTCCCTTCCTTGGTCTCTCATTCTCTGTTTCTTTGTTGTGTTGGGAAACACAGTTGATAAATGAAATGAAACTGGTCTTTGGTTCATAAGGGTAGAACTTTATGGTATTAAGTTCAAGTTTCTGATTCAGAATAAACATATATACACATATGTAGCAAATATATACCAAATATATACATATGTACCCACAATACGTACCTGTATTTATTTGACCTTTCTGCCTTTATTGAAAGTATGTTTACATATTGATCAGTTTTAAGATTTTAGGATTTGAAAAAGGCAGCCTATTAAAACATGTTTGAGGTGGGATTGTAACCCTCCTTGAGAGTGAGTGGAGAGGGTAAAGTGAGTGCTTGGCCCCTTGCACAGTGGGCAACAGCCTTTTGCTTGATGAGAGAGGGTGGGGGGATGAGCAGAGACCCATATCCACTGCAATAAGGTGGATCTGAATGGGCAAGAGAAACACTTGGCAGGTATTTATCGGAGTCAGTGTATGAGATTATTAGCCCAGGACGTCCCTTACAGGGAACTATAGTAGTCAAGAGCTAAGCTAGCGGAATGTTAGACACTGAAATGTCACAGTGTTGTGATCAGGGCCATTTTGATTCTCTGAACTTCATATAGAGTCCTCAGAGATTTGGTCTTCTAATTCTTCCTTATTTTTTTCTTTCTGTGCTTCAATGCCTTTGATATTCATTCATATTGATACACACATCAGTAGTTCCTGTTAACTGAGTGATTCTATTAGACAACATACAGAATGTATTTGGACTGCTTCTTGGACATTTGAACATTTTGGAGAAAACGTAAATAAGGCTGCTGTGTTCATTCTTGTACAAACTATTTTTTGTGCACAAGTTTTCTTTCATCTGGATAAATGTCTTGGAGTATAATTGCCCTGTCATAGGGGCCAGAGGATAGGTGGTTAGCTTACAAGAAACTGCCCAGTTTGTCCCAGGTGTATTTCTTTGTACTGTTGAATGCTCTCATTATCAGCATTTGAGAGTTGCAGTTGCTCCATGTCACTCTATCTCACTCCTTGATAATAATACGCATAGGAAACTAAACATTTTAAAATAAAGATCAAGTTCTTTTTGCTTACTGAAAATCTTGTAATATTATCCCTTGTCTTTTTAGAAAAGAAAAGGAACATTTGGCACAAGGCTGTCCTTATAACACATTTTAAAGTATATAATATGGCATTGCCCACAGTAGGTATGATGTTGTACAGAAGTTCCCTAGCACTTATTCATCTTATGTAACTGAATATTTAGAACCATTGAAAATTTTGTAATTAGAACAGGAAAAGTCTTACCTGCTTTACCTGGAGGTAACTGCATAGTTCAGACCTCAGTAACCTTTGAGAATCTGAAATAGCACAGCATTTGACAGTTTAAAAAAATAATAAAAACAGAAAAGGGCAGGAAAGAAAGGCCATCTCATTAGTAAGCTAAAAAACCCCAAGAGTGAATATGTGTGATCAACAAATAACAGAAATGCTAAGAAGTCAGAATATTGGCAGAGATTTATAATCCAGGTAACAGTACTAACAGGATAGCCAAGAACGCAGTTGGCTATCCAAAAGGAAAAGAAGAAAACTAGGATATCTTTGCATGTTAGACAGCATGGCTAGCTTATTCTAGTCCCTAGTTTTTAAGACATCTTTGTGTCACATTTAAAATACTTTAGAAATTATAGTGCTAGTAAAAATAGACCGTGTTTACTTGTGCCACCACAGTCATTTGCTAAAGCAAGACCAGCCTGGGTTAATAGGGAATTCAAGCATAGCTGGTTGCTAGAAAACTTGTGTAAAGACTTGGTAATGAGTCATATGGAAGAATTCAAAAAACATGGACTTTAGTCACATGATCTACATTTAAGTACTAAAACTGATACTATGGTTTCGCTACACAAGATCTCTAGGTCTCATATTTTAAGAGAATTGTATTATATGTTCTTTCAGGATAACACCGTGATAATCATTTATGTTTTTCCATTCTGGTAGATCACAGCTTAAACTGTCACCCTGGCACACTCACCTTTAATCCTGAGAAAGCTCCAATAAATGCTATGACTTACCATTTTTTTCAAGTTTTCTTTTTACTTAAACAAATGGTTCTTAAAATGAGGTGTGATTAATGTTTCTAGCTGGTTTAACAAAAACTGTCATATATTAGAACTAAAGCAAATTAGATAAGTCATGAAAGAAAGTAGATTGCAGAAAAGTATTAACTTTAATAACATTTTAAAGAGTAACTCATTATACCACTAATTATTGTCATTAAATTTCCTTTGGTGAAGAAGGAGGGAAGCTTTAAAAACATTTAAGAACTTATAAGTTTCTTAAAGAGCATTATATGTTTAGGAAACTGGTAATTTAAGATAAATATTAGTCTACTTTATATTTTAAGCAACCGTCTTTGCATACTTTGTATTTTTAATTGACAATAAGGGTGATAATTGCGAAAGAACTAGGAAAATGGTGTAAGGAAAAAGGTGGTATATTTCAACTGATAAGAAAATTCATGCAAATGAAAAAATAAGGTAAAGCCTATACAAATTGGAATTTACTAAGATCATAAATGTTCTGTGGAGATACTCTGTTAGTATAAATCATCAATGTTAAAATTACATCAGTAGCATGACACCTTAATTTTATGATTTTTAGAAAGAAAATAAGTTTCAAAGTATGACACAGTGTCTTAACAGTCATCTTTCTCGAGGTACAAAGTGATTGTACTAATTCCTTTTCTGTTGCTGCATTTGCTAGATCAAGGATAGCAATTCTTTTTAAAATTTTTTTATTATTTTATTGGAAAGAGATTCATAGAGAGAAGGAGAAACAGAGGGAGCCTTTCGTCTGCATGTTCACTCCCCAAGTGGCTGCAGAAGTCAGAGCTGAGCCAATCAGAGCTGGGTGCAAGGTCCCCAAGGCTTTGAGCCAGCCTCTACTGTCTTCCCAGGCTACGAGCAGGGAACTGGATGGGAAGTGGAGCATCAGGGACATGAATTGGCGCCTATATGGAATCCTCAATTGCAAAGGAGAGGATTTAACCACTAGGTTATCATGCCAGGCTCAAGGATAAGCAACTCTTTTGCAAGTGTTTTATTAACAGAGCATCTTTATTTACTTGTAAACAATCATTCCTTCATATAAAGTATTTGGATATACCTTTACAAAAAAGAAGAAGAAATTGTCCTCATCCTTCTGGAGATCATGATTTGCTTCACTGATTTCAAAGTAATTGTTTCTGTGACTTTCTGAGTATCCAATAACTTCTCTTTATGCCAAGTTATAATGTGCTTTTTAAGTTAATTTAAATGCCATTTAATCGGAGCAGTTTCAATATGTATGTAACACTGCTGAAATGACAATTATATAAGTACAGCCTTGACCACGAATGAAGGCAATAATAATGTAGCAAAAGTTACATAGGCCTAAAACTCTTGATATGAAATTTTGAAAACATGTCAATGTTAGAATTAAATAAGGTAAGTCTTTATTATATAAGGTAGATCTAATATATAGTAAGTCTTTACTATATAGGGTAGATCTTCACTGCAACCTGGAAATGTTGGTAAATTTCATGAAGCCTCAGAATGGAATGTTGATGTTTTGTTTTTTCACTGACTCAAAGCTGCTGAAGATTCATAGTCTTTTTCTTTAGCTTAAAACCAGAGACAGATACATCAGTAGTCTGAAAAAGAAATGCCAGAAGGAATCTGAACAAAACAAAGAAAAGCAGAGAAGAATTGAGACTTTGGAAAAGTATCTGGCTGATCTTCCCACTCTGGATGATGTACAGAGTCAGAGTCTGCAGGTAACATGAGCGGAGAATTCTCATTTTTAAATGACATGGTAACTTATTTCTGATAAGAACAGATAGATGCTGTACTTGATCTTAATCCAAAGGCTCAGAAGCAATAGCATGTTATTTCTAAAGTTGACCTGTTTACATTTGTCCCATTATAAAATTTGTTATTACTGTTCATCAAAGTGTGACTAGATCTTTCTTGTCACTTAATATGTAACTCATCATTTACTCCTCTACCTTAGTCTTAGGACAGTTTTCCCTTCTTAGCAATACTTCATGCATAAATTTACTATGAACTCTGGTGAGGTCTCCCTTATTGTAACCTTATTTATAAAGGTATTTCTTATCCTAAAATGTTCAGTTGACATTTGGGGATGACAGAATTTTTCTTTAAAGATTCATTCATTTACTTGACAAAGGGGGAGAGAGAGAGATCTTCCATCTGTTGGTAAATACTCAGATGGTTTCAATGGCCAAGGTGGAAGCGACTGGAAATCACAATGCAGGAAGCTCTCAGGATCTCCCACATGAGTAGCAAAACTTCAAATATTCAAGCCTTTCTCATGGCTTTTGCCTGGCCATTAGCAGGGAGCTGGATTGGAAATAGAGCAGCAGGGACACAAATTACCACCCACATGGGATACCAGTGGTGTTTCAGGCAGCAGCTTTACCCACCATGCCACAGCGTCAACTGTGGGAGTAGAAACTATTTTGTTTGAGATCTGTTCAGTGCATTGAACGGTGTACCTTCTTACATAAAAATGTCTGGTCTATATATACCAGATGTCAATGGCACCATTCCTTCTTCTCTCTGCCAAACTAAAAATGTTGATAGATATTCCCAAATGTTCCCTATTGGAAAACTCTGTCTGAGAATTATTGGTCTAGGGGTCTCAGGATGGGGCGTCTCATGCCTGGATCCCAGACGCCAGTCACCACGTGAACGTGGTGAGCTGTCCCTGGGCTTGCCTGGGGTCTGGGGGCTGCTCCATTTGGGTGAGTACACCGAGGGGGGCAGTCTCCCTGTCTGGGAAGGTCAGGGGCATACCTGCCGCTTTCATTGGGCGGTGAATGGGATTGGGGAGGGGCACGACCTTGGGTCTGGGGGTTTAAACTTACTGCAGCCTCCTGGCTGCTGGTGGGTCTCAGGACGGGGCATCTCATGCCTGGATCCCAGATGCCAGCCACCACGTGTGTACGTGGTGAGCTGTCCCCGGGCTACTAGTGCGTCATTTGGCACCAGGCTCCTCCTGCTGGCCACCTGGCCTGGACGTCTGGGGTTTTGGTTCTTTGAATTGCTGCTTAGGTAGCTCCTGGTTGAACCCACTGTGCTTCTAGGAAGTAAATCAATCCTAAAGAATCCCAATGGCAATAACTCTTCCTTTGAAGAACTTATAATCACTGAACAAGACTGACCACCAAATACCAGTCCATGCAAAAGCTATAGCTCTGGGCTTGTCCAGCAGAATCATATCCTTTTACCTGCAATGATGATGGATCAGGAGAAGGGACATATTAAGCAGAGCCATTACATTAACTAGCATTTGAGAACCATATCCGGGGGGTAGATTCTGTGGGGGATGTTTGGGCCAAACCTTGTGGAAGTTCTAACCCCACTGGTTATCTCAAGAGTTGGGGTAGTGATGGACTATGCTAGGTGTGACCAAGGAGTCTGCTATCACTCACAGGTAAAGGAACTGATAGCAGTCTGGACTGGTCATGGCAGCAGCATCCAAATGTGCATCCTGAAAAGGGTGTGGGATCGGCTGGGCTGCAACGCTCACCAGCTCATACAAGGCCAAATGGAAGGCCAGACTTTGCCGGAACCTGGCCTAAAACCCACTGGCATGTATGAGAACTGGGTCTGGGAGTGGACTAAGTGAAGGAACTTGGGAAACTCCCCTGGCGAGTCATAACTCCTGCTGGTGAACACATGGTCCAGACCTGGGGGTTGGACAAGCTGGGCATAGCAGCTCCAGCAGCTGGCTAATGTGTGAATTGGTAATGGAACAGGGTGGACCGGGCAGGACTGAGCAAACCTTAGCCCACAAGCAAAAGTAGAGACCAGGAGGGAGCATAGATCATGCCGAGCTAGGCTCTTACACACCCTGGTCTCCGTGAGCCAGGGATGCTAGGCCACAGTGTCTAAGGCAGAGGTCGGGACAGGTGAGGGGCTGAGCCAAGCTGACTTAGAGCAACCACTGGCATTCATGTGATCTATGGCTGGGAACAGGCCCAGTTGGGGAGCTAAGGGGACAACCTTAGCTTGGTTGAGGTTCCCACTAAGGGGCGTGTGGGCTGGATTGGGGGCTGTGTTCTGATCAGGAAACGGTTATAGTCTTGCTTAGCACAAGGGTGGACTGTGACTGGATGCATCGAGCCGGGCCAGGCTCCAACACCCTCTGGTGTCCTGGAGAACCAGGGTAGATGTGTAATGGACTAGGCAAGGTCTCAACCCCTACTGTGCCATGTGTGAGCTGTATGTGGGTATGGACAAGCTGTTGCTGGGCTGAAACATCCAACAGCAAGGACCAGTTTGGGTTGAAGGGCAGTCAGGAAAAGCCACTGTTTCTGCTAGGAAAGGGAGGTGAACTGAGTAGGGCTGACTCATGGACTACCTGGTATGTGCAAAATCTGACATTGGGAGAGGTTCTGATGGAGGAGCTTGGGCAACTCCTCTGGCTGGACACAGACCCTGCAGGTAAAAGCAACAAGCATGGAAGGAAACAGCCCAAAACAGGCCATGGAAAGTTTCCTACTGACGTACATTTGGCATGGTTCAGGGGCAGACCAGGCTGAATCAGTTCACATCATCCAATGACAAATCCGAGCAGTAGGTAGGTACAGAGCAGTAGGTCGGTACAGAGTGTAGGTCGAGCCGGGTTCCGTCGCGACAAAAAACAGTGCACATTACAGAATGCCAAGGTGAGGTTACCTGTACTGGATGTGACCCTAGCGCCCAACCAGCACATGTGAGAAACAGGAAGGGAAGGGGAAGAGCCTTCAAGGGAATAAGGTGTGATCCCCTTGCTGGATAGCTACTCCCACTGGAGAGCATGGGCTGGGATGGGGGCATACCAGACTAAGCAGTGCTACAACAGCTGTGGGCCTCATGTGGACTAGATCAGGGAAAAGCCAGGCTGGCCGGATTGTTCCTACTGGTGCAAACAAAATTAGAGTGGGTGAGGGTTGTTTGGGCTTAGCCACAGCATCAGCTGGCAGAGGCTAGCACTGATGGCTAATTCTGTCAAGTCAATCCACAGAACTACCTGGGGAGTGCATGATCTGGAAGTGAGACAGGCCTGAGAGGGAAATAGTGGGCTCCTCCCTCTTGGGTTACCACTCCCATGGGAGGGCACGAAAACTAGGACAGGGGCTAGACAGGGTGGCTAGACAGACACCCAACAGCATCTGTATGGGCTAGATACTTGAGCCTGGTTGGATGGAACTAAGCTTTAATACCCGTTGACATGTACGAGAGCCAAATGGGGTGTGGGACAGACTGGACTGGTCTGCTACACATACTGGCAAAGCAGGGTAGGGGGCAGGCATGGTGGGGGTTATTGTGCGTCACTCCAAATATGTTGCAGCTCCCACTGGTTTATGTGAGGGCCGAGTGTGTGCTAGGCAGAACCAGGCTGGACTGCAACACCCATTGGTTCCAGTGAAAGTTGGGGCTGCAAACAGAACCAACCCAGCGATTGCCAACCACCAGCTGATTAGGACGATTGACTGTGCCGGGTCCTGTACTTGCTAGTACATATAAGAATCTGGTCTGGGAATACCTCAGACAAAGTTTCTTTGGAGATCTTCCCAATCGAAATGCCAGACTCAGAACCCTAACCAAGACAAGACAGAAGACAGAACACTTCAATCAACCATCTCCGCTATATGTTGGCAGTGAAATGCTGGGCAAACAGACACTATGATGGACTATGTCAACCAGTGGATTTTTGAAAGACCTCATCGTGCTTGGAGTGGCAAGATTGGCAGCGATTCATAACTGCTGTACCATCAAATCCGCTTGAGCATGACCCTCGGAGCATGCCCTACAACTGGGACCTGGGATTGGTGGGAGCCTGGGGCCTTCTCCCTTAATATCCCCCTTTATACTTGCAGGAAACAATATGGAAATAATAGTCTTACCCATTTTCCTGTAGCCCTTGAATCTTTTTACTCCAACTATGTAATGATTGTCAAAAATATAATAAGAAAATGAAAAAAAAAAGTATTGGTCTATCATTATTTTACATACTCTATGACCTGTATAGATTTTTTGTTTATATTAATTTATAAGACATGAAAGTGATAAAAGTTAAAATCAGGAAGGAATTTAAGGACAACAGGAGGTTGCATGATCAGGAACAAAGACAATGTAGATTTTAAAATATATCAGTGGCTAGTGTTTCAACACAGTGAATTAATTTGCTACTTTCAGTGCCAGTATTGCACACTGGAACCCTGGTTCCAGTTTCAGTTACTGTACTCCTGACCAGCCACCTGCTGATGTAACTGGGAAGACGGCAAAAGATCACCCTAGTACTTGGGTCTATGGCACGCATGTGGGAGAGCAGAATGTGCTCTCTCTTGCTGTTGCTTGCTCTCTCTATCTCTGTCTTTTGCTCTGCCTTTCAAGTAGATAAATTATGTATAAGTCTTTTTTAAAAATGACTTCATACCATCTTACACTAATTAACATAGCTACTGTTAAGCATATCTAACTCATGTTTTTACACTCATATCTATGATATCACTTTTCACAATAACCAAAAGGAGTAGGCCAAGTTTCCATGGCAGAATGGAGGAGTAAACAAAGGGAGGTGTTATACATGCAATGACATACGCTTAGAAGGAGGAAAATTCTGACATATGATACAACATGAGTTAACCTAAAGGATATTTTCCCTAATATTTTTTTTTGTCAAGCACAAAAAAGGCAAAAAATATGGTTCCACTTGGGTGAGATATCTGGTCAAATTAGAGACAGAAATTGAAAAGATATGTTGCCAGAGATGGGTTTAAGATGGATTGACAGTTGTTTAATTGATAGAGATTGAATTATGCAAGGTGAAGGTTCTAAATAGACTGATCACACATTAAAGTGAATGTGCTTAAATTTCGTGACCTGTATGCTTAAATGGTTAAGATGATAGATTTTATGTGATATGTTTTATCCAGTTAAAAACATTGCTTGAAAATTTAAAAGGATCCCACTAGTCTCTTATTAGAAATTTCATCTTAATCCAGTTTTCTCAAATCTTTACTCTAGATGAAAAGGAGATAGCATAATTTATTAATAATCTGTTAATGCTTGAAAATGATAACAATCTTTAGCAAAAATGTATGTAATATTCCTTGTGTTATACTGCGGAAAATTTTATTTTAGCTGCAGGTTCTAGAAGAAAAAAATAAAAATTTGCAAGAAACCTTGATGGAGACAGAAAAAAAGCTTGAAGAGATCAAAAAGCAGTGTCAAGATAAAGACGCACAGTTAATATGCCAGAAAAAGAAGGAAAAGGAGTTAGTAACTACTGTTCAAAGGTAATAATACTTTCAGAATTCTTTTCATGCATTTTCAGTTATTCATATTTTTTATAAAGCACTTCACTTAAAATGCTGGCTTATAATTATTCTTACCTGGAAAAGGTATTATTAACCAAACATATAATTTTATTGAAGTAGATTGTCCCAGTTGTGATTTAACACAGATATCATGCCAAAGGTTTTTGATGAGAAGAGTAAAAACAAACAAAAAAGCATAAAAATTCACAATTGCAAACTAAAAATCTTAATATAAACCCTTTATGTGACAGATTTGTCAAAAAAAGAAGTAAAAATTCTAAGTAATAAAAATGAATCCAGAAAAATACTCAGACTGCACTCCTTAGTAGGATACATCAAAATGAAATAATTGTCACTCATTTCACCTTATTGTACGTAACAGCTATGGCAGCTTCTAAATGTACTTAAGTATCTTGTTTCATGGGACACCTCTCTTAAATTACTACAGTTAGAATTACAGTGAATAAAACAAAATCAACAGGAATAAAGTTTTAAAAATTTACAGTACTATGGAATTAAACATGTTACTGAAAACCAATGTGTTGATGAATAAATGAAAAAGAAAACAAATGCTTCTTGGAGAAAATGACACTGCTGTGTGATCTGTGTGTCACTGAAGAATTTACTAAGGGAAAAGAAGCTTTTTTGAAGAAATGAAAATAAAAACAAAAGTATCAAAACCCATGAGTATTGAAACAGTGTTGAAAGAGTTATTGATCTTGCAATTTGCATGAAGGTTGCCTTATATGATAGAGAACATGTGGCATTTGTCCTTTTGGGATTGACTTATTTCGCTGAGCATAAGGGACTCTAGTCGGGACCATTTGGTTATAAATAGTATAATTTCGTTCTTTTTAATGTCTCAGTAGTATTCCATAGATGTAACACAGTTTCTTTGTTCTCCTTTGGATCAGCATCTGGTTTGTTTCCATGTCTTTGCTAATATAGATTAAGGTAAATGAATGAAGAAGACTATCTTATCCAGCTATGAAGGTACAATGCAGTGTGCATCTCTGCTTCCAAATCAAAGATAAACTACCAATGAGTTGGTTGTATCTTGAATAGATCCTGAATTGTCTGCCATCATCTATAATGGCAATATCAGGACACACTCAATTAGCAGAATAATGCACGCATCACTGCTTATGAAGGACTATACTATTTTAATAACATGACGGAAATAAGTTGTGTTGAGGGAATTTGGAGAGGTTTAAGGGAAATCTCAGAGCCTGTGGAATTGTACCATAAAATTAAAATTAAAAATAAAATAGAAGGTTGCAAAAAGAATTACAGTGAATATTATTTGTTAATATGTTCAGTTTGTATATTTAGGCTTGGAAATTAATATGGGCCCCTGAGAAAGTCCTATTCTATGAAGCATAAACAGAAAGTCTTAAAAAACTTAAAACCTTAATACTATTAATTATAGATAGATTTGATTTTGTTGAAGAATAACAAAAACTAAGAAATAGACATTTCGTAGTTATATCTATTCTGTAACATTGTATTCTCAACTTTTAGTCTAAAAAATCAGTGTTAATATTGCTTTTCTCCTCTCAAAGTCTAAATATGCCTGAAATAACTAATTTTGTTCTTGAAATACAATGTAGAAGTATCTTATTTCTGGACAGTTCAGTTTTTAGTGTTCCTAATTTTAGCTCTTTAAAAAATTACACAGTTGTGATACTGTCTCATTTTCTGATACTCTGCATTCTGGCATTTTATTTTTGTTTTATACTTCTACATGTTGCCCCTGCCCTTTATTCATTCATTTATTTATTTATTTTTTATTTTATTTTTTGGAAATACAGAAAGGGAAGGAGAGGGAAGACAAAGAGAAATCTTTAGTCTTTAATCTGCTGGTTTAGTCTTCAAATGCCCACAGGAGCCAAAGTTATGCCAAGCCAAAGCCAGGAGCTCAGAAACTGATCCATGTCTCCCTGATGAGCGGCAAGGCCCCAACTACCCTTGCTGTCCTGTGCTGCCCTTCAGAGTATAAATAAACAAGAAGCAGAAAATGGGTGCAAAGCTAGGACTTGAACCCAGGAGCTTTCATATGGGATATGAATATTCTAAGGGACATCTTAACCATTGTATCAAATGCCTGCCCCATTATACCTATTCCTTAACCTCAAAAAAGTGTCTTGGTCTTCACTAGTTGACTATATAGCTTTTTCTTACATCTTTATTGGTAATAACAAAAGATAGCATTAGGATCATAAATTTTAAGTTGTGTTGGGAGAACAGAATTGGCAACACCTGAAATAATTGACTTTTTTATTTGTATGCTTTCACTTATTTATGATTTTATACGTTTTATTAGATTTTCTCTTGTATAAGACCTTTTGAGAACACTGAGCTAGTAATCTTGATTTTGATTTATTTAGCACAGTGCATTTCAGAAAAAAAAAATTTTCTATAAGACTTATTTAATTGATAGGCAGAGTTAAGTAAGGAGAGATGGAAAGATCTTCCATTCAGTGTTTCAATCCCCAAATGTCTGCAATGATGAGGGCTGGGCCAAGCCAAAACCAGAAGCCCAGAACTAAATCTAGCCCACCGCCGAAGTGGTGTGTGCCCAAAAATATAGGCTGTGTTCTGTGCTTTCCCAGGCATGTTAACAGGAGCTGGATTGGAAGTGGAACTGGCACTTCTATAGGATGCAAGATCACAGACTGTGGCTTAACTTGCTACACCGTATTGCTGCCCCTCTAAAATATGTATTTTTGAACCTAAGTTGATACTTTCTAAAATGATGAAATGATGTGCCCTAGAAAATTTAATTCAGTTTGGTGTAAAAAACCAAAGAAGTTATCGGTCTTTAATGCTTGTATGATTATTGTGATATCATTTGGCCATGGGGAATGGAGCTGTTTTCTTAGTTTCTTCAGCTCTATATCCCTTAAGTCCTGAAGGAACTTTTAATTATATCATCATACTTATCTGTTTTATATAACATTTCTAATTTTGCAAAACTTTCTGATATTCCTAGTTTTGTGAATATGTAAGATTATTGGGAATTTACAGGTAGCAAAAACTTTCTGTTAGAAATGAAGATTAAAGTGAAATATATAAATGGGACACTTAATAGTACAATAGTAGCTACTTTGCTGTTCAGGAGATTTGTTGCTATGAAATATAAAAATCTATGCTTTAAAAAATTTTTTTGTTCACTCACGAGAGTACAATTTTCTCTTTTCAAACCTAGCTTGCTTTTTCTTTTAAAGTTAAATGCCTTAATATACTTTTTAGGTTTTTATTTATTGAGAGACAGAAAAAAAAATGTGCTTACATTCACTTGTTCACTCCCCAGATACCCAGGATGATCAGGAATGAAGGAAATGGCTAGTAGGTCGATCTAGGTCTCCCATTGGGCATCAGCAGCCCAGGTGCTCGATCCATCATTGTTGCCGTCTGGGCCTTACTTGCAGGAAGATGGAGTCAGGAGCCAGAGCTTACATTTAAACCTAGGCATTCCATTATGGGATGTAGACTTTAACAACAACGACAAAATAACGATAAACCTATGTATCTGAAAGGCAGAATCACAGAGGGAAGACACACACACACACTCTCTCTCTCTCTCTCTCTTTCTTTCTCTCTCTCTCTCGCACATAAATCTTTGATTGCCTACTTCACTACCCAACAACCAAGAATGGGCCGAGCTGAAACCAGGAGCCAGCAGCTTTATCCAGACTTCCCACACGATTGCAGGAGCCCAAATATTTGGGACATACTCGGTTTCTCAGGCGCATGAACAGGGAGCTGGCTTAGAAATGGAGGAGATGTGATTTGAACCTTTACCAATATGAGTTGCCAGTGTTGCCAAGTTGTGGCTCAAGCTACAATGCTAGCTCCAATAAGTGGATTTTTTAAAAGATTTATTTAATTTTATTACAAAGTCAGATACACAGAGAGGAAGATCCTCCATCCGATGATTCACTTCCCAAGTGACCTCAACGGCCGGTGCTGCGCCAGTCCAAAGTCAGGAGCCAGGAACCTCTTCGGGGTCTCCCATGCGGGTGCAGGGTCCCAAGGCTTTGAGCCATCCTCGACTGCTTTCCCAGGCCACAAGCAGGGAGGTGGATGGGAAGCAGAGCCGCCGGGATTAGAACCGGCGCCCATATGGTATCCTGGCGTGTTCAAGGCAAGGACTTTAGCCACCAGGCCATGGCGCCGGGCCCCAAGAAGTGTATTTCTTAAGTAGCATCTTGACTTCTAGGCCAAAAGCCTGCTGTGATTTTAGTATTTTGATGCATCTTATTTCTCTTGAAATTTTATAAATACATAGAAATTGTGTTTCCATTCTGAATTGGGGAAAAAAATTTATTCTGGAATTGAAAAAAATATTTTCAGTACTTTTAGAATCAAAGAGAACGTGTATTTTTATGACAAGCCACAATGTATTACAAAGCAACACCAAGATGTGTATTGCATAACAAGTCACCTGTGCTTTAAGCACATTTGAAGTTCTTATTAGGAATGTCAGTTCTTTGTCCCGAATCTATGAATGGCATTACTTTGTTTTTGGGAAGAAAGAAAGAGTGGAAAAGCCATAATACTTGAAAGAAGAAAAAATGAAAACTTTACAAGCCAGATTACAAAACATCTTTCATTTCATACTCTGCTGTACTTGGAGTGTCATTTTTATTAACGTAAGTAGAACGGTGCTGAGGGTTTTTAGTGATGTTCTTTCTAATGATATTTCTTTAAATCAAAACATCATTAGCTATCCTTTCTCAAGGCCACTCTTTTCTCCCCTTAACTCTTTTACAATTAGTGTACCAGAAGGGCTTCCTTTTGCTGTTTCTTCCACTTTTTTTTTTCTGAATAGCATGAAAAACGGTTACACCAGATTATGAGCATAGATTATGCTCTCATGGAAGAAATGTAGTTCTGATATCCGGCTTAGATAACAACTTACATGCCAGCATTTCCTGAACTTAGAATAAAGGGCAAAAAGCATGTATCTATATTCTTAAGCTTCCTGCCATTGTCATCTTAATGTAAGAACTGTGTTTCAGGAGAGAGAAAAACAGTAGAAGTTACAGAGCCCAGATTTGGGTCATAAAGAGCTCCACTGAAGCCAAGCATGGCACATGTTCAGCAATTCTGGATTCTAGTTCAAATTTGCTATTTTTGAAAACATGATCAGCCTGGAGCTAATTACAGGGCCTTCTAATTCCTATAAATTGTAGATGCATGTATTCATATACTCTGTAGCTCTTGATTATTGCTTGATTAAAAAATATTGTAGATTCTAAGAAAGGGATATTGTTTATGTTAAAATCATCTATCCAAATCAGCAAATACAGCTAATTTTATTCATATGCTCATGTCTTTTTCAAATAGTTTGCAACAAAAAGTAGAAAGATGCCTTGAAGATGGAATCCGCCTTCCCATGTTAGATGCAAAGCAGCTTCAGAATGAAAATGATAATCTCAGAGAACAAAATGAGACTGCTAGTAAGGTCAGTAGTTATTTTCTCTCATAATAAAAATGAAATCTGTGCTGTTTGGGAATGTGTGTATAGTTAAAGAATTTCATGTGAGTTATATTTTTGCTGTTTAATGGCTTGTGGAGTGTTTGAATGCATTTGTCTGAAGAGAAAATGGAAATTAAAAGAACTTTAAGCCATTTCAATAAAAAAACAAACGGGTATCTTTTTTTCTTGGAGTATTCAGTGTGTCTGAAACTTAACTGAAATACTTTTAAAGTTCTTTGCATGTGTGATCTAAGTCATGCCTTGATTTAAAGGATGCTGATATGAATACACTTTGAAAAAATAAAAAGAACCTTTTTAAAAAAGAAAAGTTCATCATTTTTGTATTCTTTGTTTTCGTAATATACTGATGCTTTAAGAAGCAGTGAAAAAGGTGAATTGATCCAGACCAATTTATTTCCTCTGTTTTTAGATAATAGACAGCCAGCAAGATGAGATTGACAGAATGATTGTAGAAATTCAGGTGAGGAATATTTTATATATTCATTTTAATTTAGCTATATGCCGATTTACTTTTGATATACTACATAACCTAGAAATATATTATGTATATATTTGTATGAACAAGATTAATAAATGCAATCTGGTAAATCAGTTCTTTTAATAAATATGAAAATTGTTCTGGCTCTTTTCTCTAATTGAATTCAATTTTTTCTACCATTTAGCATATTGCCTTAAGGTATTAGTGTTCTAGTAAAAGATAATGAACTAGTTAAACTTCACATTGGCTTAAGGTATTAGTGTTCTAGTAAAAGACAATGGACTAGTTATAGGCCACATGTTATTTGATCTTTATTATTTTCACGCGGAAATGCATCTGCAGCCCTAATCTATCCATATTCTGCTCCTTTCTTCCATCCAGCTATCTGCAGAGGTTCATAGTATGCTCCATTTCTCTGTCCCATCTCATAAATGTTGATATTGAGCAAGTGTTTGTGGCTTCCCTGGTATATCCCCAGTGATGATATTGCCTAACCTAATTGGTTCTCTCTGTTCCAGTTATGATTTTTCTTCACCCATTGTTTGTGTCCAGTGTTACTATTTAGGTGGTGCTTCTCAAGTGCATAAATAATGTTACCTCTTTATTATCTGTAGATTAAAATCTAAGGTTTTGTAGTTCCTTCCTATCATGACATTGTATGCATATATAAGGATTTGTGTACCATACATACACATGCATATATGATACACAATACGTTTCAGTGTTTGTAGCTTCTCAAAGCAGACCAATGTTCTTGGAATGCCCATCTGACATATAAATCGGTTGCCAGATTCTACAGAAGCATTATTTCCATGAAACCTAGAAAGATGACCTCTTAGGTAGAATTGAACACTCACATTAGCTTATCTCCCCTTCCTAATAACTACTACTTTTGTTGTAAGATAAATTATTTTTTGCCTCAAAAAAGAAGTTGGCATATAACTATGTTTTCTTCTGTATCCATTTATACATACTCATGACCTATTTGCATGCGACTATATACTTGTTTATATATAGGAATATATTCCATTAAGATGCCTCCACAAGTAGGAAAAGGGCATATTTCAACTCATTTCAGCTGTCACAGATCTGAAATTACAAACTGCTGTGAGAGGTACTGCAGGAGTACTTCAAAGGTGCCATTGAAAATGAATTAGGAGATGTTCATTTTGGTTAAAAAACAAACTAAACTTGGAGTCTTTAGATAATTTCATGTAGCATTAAAATGATTTAAAAAAAATAAACATCAATTTTTATACCACTATAACCTTACTTTAGTTTCATTTTTCATGAACCTTTTAAGGTAAAGTACCTTGTTTTTTGTTTTTTTGTTTTGTTTTTAAGAGGTTTATATATTTGTTCAAAGTCAGAGAGAGGGAGAGACAAAAAGCTCTTTCATTTGTGTACTCTCCAGTTAGCCAGAACAGCTGAGGCTCAGCCAAACTGATGCCCGGAGCTAGGAGCTTCTTCCAGGTCTCCCAAACACTTGGATCATCTTCTGCTGCTTTTTCTAAGCTGGATCAGAATTGGAGCACCCAAGACACAAACCAACTCCGTGATGGGATTCTGACACTGCAGGTGGTAACACTGTACCTGCCACAAAGATGATCCCTCAAGTACATCTTAAAAATATTGTGATCAGAGTTTCAGTGATAAGCTTCATTTGTTGGTTATTGTTAGAGGTGAGATAATTTTTATTATGTTTACTTGGAAAATATTTCCAAATGAAACATTCCTTTTTTTGTGAACTATGATAAGTCAGACAATAATGGCTGACAGAATGTAATAATCTACAGATTCTGGTACCTTGTAAACAATCAAGGTTTTGTCTACAAATTCAACATAAAGGTTACAACCTTTGGAACAATCTGTTGAAACAGCCTGGCCTTTGATTAAATTGACAGGTGACTTAATATAAGCCAAAACATAAAAATCATTCCAGATTATTTATGATTGTGTCATGCAAACTGTTTACCATTTTTTACTTCTATTTCAGAAGTAATATTAAAATTGGGAAATAAAAAACTAAAAATGTTACCTGCAGGTCCCAATGGGCTGTCATGCCCTCCATATGCATCAGGGCTTGCCGTCCACTGTTCTCTTTTCCACTGAGGAGGCCCAGTTCTGACACATGCATTCTGCAGCCAGACCACAGATACTGTGATTCTCCCCATGATTGGAGTTCTGGTTCAGTTGGGGGGATCCCCAAAATGACCTCATCAGAATTTACTCTTGTGTGCTTGCCAGTATGATGTCTGGCTCAGTCTGTCACACACATCAGCCTGCACACAGGCTAGTAATTGCAATTAATGGATCATTATCTCCAGCCCGGTCTCTTACCATAAACCAGTGGATGCTGTGGCCCAAACCAACCCTGCCCAGCACACCCTCGGCCCTTGCATACACCAGTGGGAACTGTAGTATAGTCAGAGCGATCCTCAGTAACCCCAACCAGGCCAACCCCCAAACCTGGTTCCTGTCTTTGCCAGTATGTGCAACAGACTGGTCCAGTCTGTCCCATATCCCATTCTGCTCTCATTCCAGTGGGTGCCACCACCTGTCTGGCCAGGCCCTTCCCCAGTCCTGGTTCTCATGCTCACCAGTGGGAGTTGTAGGCTATCAGAAAGGTGCCCACAGTTTCCCTACTGGTCCCACTCCCAGTCGTGGATCTTGTACTTTACAGGTGGTTCTAAGTCTGGCATGACAGGATTTGCCCCCAATCCCAGCACTTACCAGCTAATGCTATGGCAAAGCCCAACCCACCTGCTCTTAACTTTGGCTCATGCATGCACCAGATGGTTAGTCCAGCCTGGCTCTCTCCTAACCTGACTCACATGCAGGCTAGCAGGTGTTGTACTTCTGCCTGACCTGGTCTGCCCCCAGTTCCAGTTCTCACACTCACACCAGCAGGGGAGCCCACACTGCCCCACTACAAGGCTCATACATCTCCCCCCAGGTCTCACACATGCTGGTGGGTGCTACAGCCCAGGCTGGCATGGCCTGCCTCACCTCAGTATTTGCCAGGGCGTGCTGTAGACTGGCTCGGCCTGGTTTTCACTCAATTCCAGCTCATACTGGTGGGCACTATCACCCCTCTTATCTCTGCATTGTTGCTTTGTAAGCAAGCTGCAATATTATGGGCTTGGAGCACTGCAGATGCATTTAGGGCATCCTCTTCTGGAAAAACTCCATGACCATACACTGGGCCTCTTTAATAGCACCTATACAGTTACAATTTTAAAATATTTTTAAATGTGCTTTTATTTTATTTCAAAGGAAAGAGAGAGCTAGCTTCCATTTCTGGCTCACAAAAACCGGGGCTATGCCAAACCAAATCCAGGAACCTAAACCTAGTCTGAGTGGTAAGGGCCCAAGTGCTGAAGCCATTGTTGGCTACATCATGGGAAATGCATAGGCACTAAGATGGACTGGAAGTGGAATAACCAGGAACTATGTGAAATGCTAATCAATACCGAAATGTTTTTATCTGAAGAGAAATAGTGATTTACCTACTACGCCAAATACCTTGCTCAATAGCAGTTTGTAGAAGAACATATGGTATTATATTGGTTTCCCATTTTCTCCAGCTTACTTTGCCAAATGGGCCAAAGATTGATTTATTCTATGTTGAGTCACAAGTACCAAACACAATGACTGACATGTGAAAATTTGACTAATGAATATTGAAAATCCTTTTGTTCCCCAAATTTTGTAGGGTAAATGATATGTCAGGCTCTTTGTTACACTCTACATCTGTAGAAGAGCTACAGTAATCCTCTCAGTAAACTCAGTGGGAGGCATAGGCATAAAGATATTGTATAGATGGAGGCGGGTGACTTACAGAATTGTAGAGGTCTTTCCTTTATTTGTTTCAACTCATTTATTGGTCTCTCACAATTAAATGCTTAGGTTTTTTTGTTTGTATTTAGTACTTTATGATGACCTTTTCTAGAAACCTAAAAATATTTCCTGATTTGATAAATGAACACTAGTTATTTGCCTGGCCTTGTAAATCCTAAAAACAATACTTTGAAAAAATATTCATGTTGCTTTATAACACAGTAATTCGGCATATTTAGTGGACATAGTATAAGCTGACTAATCTAATAGAGTAATTTTCTTCAGTACTAACACTTTGAAGCTCCCTAGCTTTTCTTTACTTGCAGAGAGGATGGCCAAATTTATATCAATGTAATTTACATTATTCTGTCCATATGATATGGCACTCTTTTCAAATTTATTTGAATTTATGCCAAATATCATAAAATAGTATATAATTATAGATAACAGAAAGTCTTTGTTTTAAAGCGAATGTGACTTCACTTATTCGCCAAGCAGTGTATCATGTTTAGGTTGCTGGCTGAGAGGAAAAGAAGAGATAAATTGTGTAAAATGATATGGTACATAGAAAGTCCATAGTCTAGTTTGCCTAATGTGAGGGTCTGACATTTATTGATGTTTATATGCTCATCTCATTCTAAGCATCTCATCAGATAAGTGTAGCTATACTCATCTTACACATGCTGAAATTCAATCTCAGATAGTTGATTCATAATTATACAGGTAGTAAGCAGTGGGATCAGACTTTCATCTCATATGAATCTAAATCCTTATCCTCTTCCCATTATGTCCAGGTGCCTTAATGGTAAAGAATATGGAAATAGAACATTTTTTATATTACACAGTATTAAGTCTAGTGTAAAATTGTACCGCTATTTTATAGTTTAGTTGCTCTCCCTGCAAATATTGGGACATTGCTCTACTTTAGAATATTTAATGGAAAAAATAACTTGGTATTTCATTGCTTGTTGCCTCTATGTCTTTGCAAGCTGTTGAACTGGCCCAATTTGCAAAGATGACTTAGTATTAGAATTATAAATTTGGACTTGGCACGGTAGCCTAGTAGCTAAAGTCCTCACCTTGCATGTACCAGGATCCCATATGGGCACCAGTTCATGTCCCAGGTGCTCTACTTCCCATCT